AGTGCTTTGTGTTCAAAAACAATTTGAAACAAATGAGAATATCCGTAGCTCGGGGTGTGGATGCGGATTTTGAGCGGTTATCCGAGCTGAGTGATTATTGTGCAGACGTTTCGTTGCCTGACTAGGCAACATCATCAGTGCGGTTTCAGAGGCCTGGTTCGCAGTGCCTCGTATGCGACTTCAATGTCCAAGTGCTTATTGATCGAGTTCTGCTGTGAATGCCAGGCTTCAATGAACTCACGTGATTGCCGGCTTTTAGCCCTTCCGAGGATACTGGCATGCGCTATGTCGAATTGATGGTTCTCAGCATCCATGTGCACTGACATCAGGGAGTTCTGATAGTGGCGACGTATGGCGAGGCTGTGTTCGTGTAGCCTTGTGCCAAGCGTTCTCCCAGCCTGTCCCACGTAGTACTTGTCGCAGTTCCGGCAGCAGATTCTATAAATCACACCAGTTTCTTCTTCTTTGCTAAGTTTATCCTTCACCTTGAAGAGTCCACTGCGAATGGTTTCCGTTGGCTGGTGTGCAACTTTGACTCAAAAAGGCAATAATAGCCTCGCTGCCATTTCAGAGATACCGTTGATATAGGGAAGTGTTGTTCTCTTTTCAGTTGGTACATTTGTCGAGGTGTGTTGAGCAACCTTTTGTTATGCGAGGCAGCGTAGAATGAAGCCTTTTGGGTACGAGTTCCGTTTGAACAGGTTGAAGTGATGATCTTCCTCTGCCCGTCTCAGCTGCGGTGTGCTACAGTGGGTTTGTGCTCGTTTGAAAATGGTTTGCACGCAGCTGCGTTTGTGGGCTGCCGGATGATTGCTGCCGTAGTTGAGGATCTGGTCAGCTTCAGGCTGCCCTGGTTGTAGAACAAAGACACCCCTTTTTTCTCGTTTGTTTGTATGTATGTCTGCACCCACAAACTGTTATGTAAAATTACCGGTTATCGTTATCGGCACTGATGGGACGATACGAAATGCATGCATCTGCCGAACTTCGTCTTCTAATTGTGCTTTTCAAGTATGTTTAATATCCTAGAACAACAACCGGATATGTTTAATCTGTTGGTCTGCCTAAACAGATGTATCACATGCACCGATAAATATGCCAAAAAGGTACTGAGCGTATTTGTGAGGCTCATATGGATTCCAAAAACGTCGGCAGCCGCCGCGTGTTGAAGATATTAAAAAACTGGTTGTTTCTTACTACTAAAAGCAATTAGTGAGAATATTCGAAGTGAGGGATGCAAATAAAGTGGGTTGTTCCTTCAGATCAGCCGTTCGTTTACAGACCACATCGTCGAAATAAGTAACATCGAAAGTTCAGCAGGTAGGTGAGCATATATGATGGCAATGGAAGAGGAAATCCTTTACGCCAACAAGTGATAACAGTGTGAGAAGCAAACGCCAGGGCTTTCGCTCTGATGATTTCTAACTTGGGCATCAAAGTGCAGGTATTGCGCGATGGAAAAAAGTATGTCTCGCGAGTAACCCCATGACTGACCTAGTTACTGAAGCAGATTACGTATGTACTAAAATAAAAATATCGCAAGTGGAGCTACTAGTGTAGCAATCATGAGAAAAGAAAGCGTTCCTGGATAATGCCACCGAGTAGGGTGATGAAACGTGTGTAGACAGGTGGCTAAGCGAGGAGAACAATACGACCGTGTCAACCGACCACCAGTAGCTGCGAAGTACCGTTAATAAGTGCCGATTTTTGCCCGAATCAACGGCACTAAATCGTGATTTACACCTGAGCTGATCAGGCTGACTCCTTCATGCCCTTTGCATGCCAGTTGGTCGCTTACCTCAATGTGTGTTGTATTCGTACACCGCGCCTGGTTCGGTGAGAGCTCAGTGTGGCCAAAGGATGACTGGGTTCCGTCCTAGTCGCGGATGTATCGATCAAACTTTCACACTCCGCCACGGGTATCAAAAGACAACGATTGTCGTGTTCTTGGATATCCGCGCTGATTTTGATTCTGTCGACAGGAGTGTGTCACACTGTCTGTTGAAGAGCAGAGTATCCGTACTGCGTGCTCTGTACAGTTAGGGCTTATGGTAAGCTTTCGCCTTTCTTTGCTATCACCAGTGGGGTTCGATAGGGATACCCTATATCCCCGTACCTCTTCAACTTTACCATTGAAGATGTCCTCAAAATGCTCTGGAAGACTCGTTAAGCGCTGGCGCTGAGTTCCTCTTAGGCAGTCGAGTAGTTGAGTTGGACTACGCTGATGATATCGTTTTGCCGAGTGACGATCCAGACTGTTCAACTTGCACTTAACTGCTTGGCAAATGAAACGCCGAAGGATGGTATGCACTTGTCACCATCCAAGTACGAAGCAATGGTAGAGGCCTATATCTCCACTCAATCTCGGTGGAGAGATAATGGAGGTGGTGGATAGTTTCGTCTACCTAGGAAATTGCATCACTGCCGGTGGAGCTGATGGAGATGAGATTTCGATGAGTATCTCAAGAGCTCGTCTCGTTTTCTCCAGACTGGGGCACTTGTGGCGTCGCCATGACATCAATCTCTCCAACAAAGGACAGGTTTATTATGTGACTGTCCGAACTGTGCTGTTGTACCGTTGGGAGACTTGGCCTGTTCGTACCTTTGAGCTGTGTCGGTTGTCTGTCTTCGAGCACCGTTGCTTGCGATCCATGGTGCCTGCACCACGTAAGCAATGCGGAAGTTAAACAGCACGTCTTGCGGGGAGGCAGCCATTTGATCGAGAAGATCGTCTTGTTGCGTCAGCTGCGGTGGCTTGGCCACGTATTGCGTATGTCTGCTCAGTGCCTTCCACGTAGTTCATTGTTCGTGGTTGCTGGACAGGGCTGGAGGAGGCGGTGTGGTAGACAGCCAACGACTTGGAGAAGCGGCATGAAAAAGCTGACGAAGCAGTTGACCTTGGTCGATTGTTCCACAATGCTTGGTTGAGGTCCCAGAGATACGAAGTGTCGCTGGTTGGTGACCCTAAAAGTTATCGCTCAGGGGCAAAGTCAGTGGCGGACGCGTATTTCTGCGTGTTATAATCACTCTCCTTCCCTCCTCTAATAAACTAACAAAAAACTCGAAAACCAAGTGGAAAACTGGACAAAAAAGATGCCTATTTTCTTTATTCTTATTCCGATCATGTTTTCTTACTCCGCCATGATTCCGATGGCGCAATATCTGTACCATATATATATATATATATATATATATATATATATATATATATATATATATATATTTGCTCGGTTAGGTGCTTGTCCTCTTTTTGGATGGGGATCACAGGATAGGTGGTGTATGTTCGCAGAGACATCATCCGACAGGAGCGTGTTCAGCGTCGTGAAATTTGTGCAAGAAGGGCGAGTGGACTGCTCAACACCACTATTTCAAGCACCAAGCTCCGATGAATGGGCTGCATGTTGCGCGTATCAGCACACCGACTCTCGCGAACGGGGTCTGAATGGAGGCAGAGCAGGGGAGGCCAACGATGACTTGGTCGAAAGAAATGAAAACGCTCACTTCGAAAGTTGCGTACGTTGGTGCCTCCCGACTGCCGCGCTGGGGCCCCAAAAATAATGGATCCGTTTGGTTGGATAGAGTAGTTGATGTGACAAGGAGCCTACCGCAATGGCGTTTGTGCGGTGACTTAATTTATCTCTTTTCATCCTGCTTATATTTCTCCTCTAACCACGATCAGACTTGAAACGTAATATGTTACTAAGCAATACTTTGTCTGTCGATTATTTTGCATTCCATAATGTTTTGTATCTGGAATTTTCATGGCGTATTTTTTGTATTGCGGCACAATAGTGGAAACGTGGTTCTCACCTTCTACTGTGTAATTATGGTGAGGAAGATATCCGATATACCACAATTTTAAAGTGCATGGTACGGTAGCTTCTGATTGCGACTAAACCAATCGACAATTGGATCCTGTCTTTGCTTTGGTTTCCTCTAAGATACATCAGCGCCGCAAATCCGTTTGTGGTTTTCCAAAGTTGGTTGGGTTTCTTCTCATTAGCTTAGGTCGGGGATCAATGGAACTGGGACCCAGATTGCTTCAGTGCTTCGATCGTCAATGGCTATAAACCAAGCTGAACAGAAGTTCGCTAGTTAGTGGTCGGCAACAAAGTATATGGACAGAATAGCGTGCCAGATTCGAGTCACGCAGGTCTACTAGCTACCACAACGTATGTCATTTACCGATACAGTCTCGAATGGGGTGAGAAACAGAAGTGAATGGTCACTGATACGAAAAAATCGGCTGAAAGACAGAGTCAAGTTGGTGTGTTGTCTTTGTAGATGGGGTGAAGGGTCTTGGCATCTGCCGTACCAAGTTGGAATAACTATCATTTATGTTGCAGTCATGAAACCAGTGGAACTCCTGAAGGTCCTTAATTAGAATTCTTAGCTCACTTATAAAGGATGTTGGCATTTTGTACACTCCAATTGATTTGACTTCCCCTCTGACATATTCCAGCCTTTGTTAAACCAACATTTTCTCGGAGACATGAGGAAAGGCAAGTGGATCTATTACACTAAGTGCACAAGGTATAGTTGATCAATAACCTCATCATTAGTTTCGACAAAGCGATGTGCACAACTTCTAGGAGTATGGTAAGCAACAAGGGTCTAAAAACAAAAACTGTCTCCGTGTCATATAAGAATGAATCAGAAGCATCAGTAGATTGAGTTTAATCGAAGTGCATGATCCTAGTAGAAGGGTAATTGAATAAAAAGCTAGGTCCCAAGTGAGAGTTATTTAGGGCTGCATTTGCTCCTCCATCCAGACTCAAAATTATAACGTTCGGTGGATAGATTGCCACCTTTTTGTTCGGCTACAAACACGAAGTCAGTGTACGTTTAGTAAGCCAAGTGCTCTCTCCATATTCGGAAACAAAAGAAAAAGTGTTGGATAAAATTGTCATAAACTTCTAAACTGTTTAGGAAGCGGTACAAACGAATCATATCATAGGCTTTGAAGGGAACGAAGAATAAAAATCTAAGATGTGACTCACCTGGCGCCAGAAATGCTGCTTCGTCACAAGCTCGATATTGGATTCTTGCGGGACAATAACTTGGAAAGTATTTTTAGAGCCAACACTTTGGTTACTACTCGAAGTTCTTGGCACTTTGACCACAAAATCAGGGATGCTGGATAGGTTGTTCGGATCTAAATAGGTGAATAAAAAACTCAGAAACGAGTGGTACTTTTTTGTTCCATCCACTTCAGGCGATCCACGGGGTTAGAGAGAGTAGATAGTGAGCAGTTCCCATTTGAGTAGTTGGAAATGGGCTGGAAAAGGAAATGACAGCAGAACCGGTCTGTAGGAAAACTAACGGGTACCTACACGAAAAAGGCCTTGAAATGTAAAATGACAGTTAGAAATGAAGGCATGTGAGCCAACAAACGCAAAAGATGGGAAGAGTAAAACTCAAACCATTCTGACGCTACTGCAAAGCGTCCGAAGTGATCACAACCGTCGAAACGAGGCTGGGCCTTAACGTGGTGCGACGACTTGCGCAGCTCTTCGACCTAGAGAGCTATATTGAGTGGTGCCCCCGGGTCCCCTGAGAGTTACTCCTACCAGGCCGGTCAATCGTTAGATGTTTGACAAACTCAATCTCCTGGTCCTCCAGATTGGGAGTTGGAAATAGGATAGCGTCCATTTCTGTAAAACTGAATAGTTACCACCTCCGCTGCTTTGTGGACAAGATTTTGAACCAAAGGCTTTAGTTGAGGACCCTAGTCGTCCTCTTGTCTATGTATCTGCGCCCTGGCAGTATTACAGCTCACGTACGGCCATGACTATTTCTTCAAACTCCAACCACATCCTGCGTCGACAGTCGTACAGGTAATCAAGGGTCACCTTATCTGCTGCATACAGCAGGGCGGATAAGCGAAAACATGCTACTGCCGGCGCCTCCCTTCTTATTTTTCCATCTGTTTCTCTTACTCCCATCGCAATCCCTATTACTAACATTCCTTCTATAGTTCCCAGCTTAATTGACAGTGGCCGTCACTAAAGTCGAATCAACTGCAGCTATCTTCCCGTACCACCCAACGAACGCCTATTGGCAACAGTCCCTTGTAAGGCCATACTGTCCCGTTTCCCTAGTGGCCTTCAAGGTTCGTACTTGAAGGCAAATAGGTCAACATGCTGTACTCGCGCGCACGCTAGACGTATTGGGTATTGACGTGTGTTGCGTGTCCGAAAGTAGGAGCAATGACCATCACGATGTTGTAGAACCAACTGCGCCAGGCTTGTCCCTTCGCCATTGGTTGCACGCATTGTGAGGGGCTGATGTGGCAATCACTGGTCAAGCTGGGGTAGACATTGTTCTCAGCCCCAGGGCCGTCATCTTCGGTTGATTGGATCCCAGTGAGCAGCCGTTTGTGTGCAGTCTATTTGACAACATCAACTAGGGTTGATTCACGGAGCAGCATTACACACTGTTTGTCAGTGGTTTCTGCTTACGGTACCACAGAGTGCAGTTCTGATGCTGCTAAGGACGCTGTCCACCACGCACTGAACACATTACTGTGGTGGTAAGATACCACACTGAGCATGTTGACTGTTTATCGAGCATATGGAATCTGGGTAGATAGTCTGAAAGCTGGAGGATCGCTGCAGTAGTGAACTGAAGGATAGTACGCAATCGATTGAAACCGATATGAATGTTGTCCGAACGCTGGCCGGGAAAGTAATGGCAAGAAGTTATGCGCCATATTTGTGAGTGATTGATGCGAGATATAAAATTAGCTTGAGTTCTATGGACAATAGATTTCTGATCAAAGCTCAGACATCGTTTTGTAACTCTGACGGCTATTACGACAACTACTACAGTGTTATCAGTTCAGAGATTATAGTTGTTGCAGGGAATATGAATGCGCGAGTAGATTGTCGGAGCTCTTTAGAAGGAAATGTGGACTTAAGTCCGACCAAACGGACAACGGCGAGCGCCTGTCACCGATAGGTGAGGAGTGCCAGCTGTTCCCCAATAGCACCGCATTTAGACAGTGCGTGCCGAAGTGCAACTTAGCCTCCCCTATGGCTGGTCAGCGATGGACTCAAATTGGCCAGTTGCCATAAGTTGTAAGTGGTGTGGATCCACATCAGACTGTCGTTCGTTCTGGAATGTTTGGATCAGTCTTGGTCATACTTGGGCACTTGGTCGTTTTTCCACAAGGTTTACCCGGATGTGTATCAAGCGCTTCCCACGATTGGTAAATGAGGTTATCTCAGACCTCAGTCAGGCAAGTCTACCAGGATACCCTGGGTACTGAACGTTCGCCGTGTCGTCCTAATAACACTGAACTTCAATGGAATAGGATCTCGTCCGCCATGCACGATGCGGGAGCCTTTGCTGCGGTACCACCAATCGTCACCATAGCACTCGCTGAATGTCCGAGAGGTCGGTGAAAAAAGCCATCAGCAGTATGCCGGCACACTGTACCAACGCTTTGCAGCCACGCAACCACCACCGTTCACGCGTGCGCTGTGTATACCGCGCACAATGCAACCAGTGAGACAAGGATGCCCGCTGTCACCTTACCTCTTCAACTTCGCTATTGATGAAGTCATAGAAACAGCGTTCGCTGGACACGACATAGAAGCTGTGGAGCTACTCCCTGATGAGCGACTTCTTGACTTGGAGTATGCGGACGACATTGCCCCAAACTGTGACAGCTCTTAAACATGCCAAACAGCACCGGACCGATTAGCACTGGCTGTCAATCGTTTTGGGCTATGCTTTGCTCCATCGGAATGCAAAGTACTTCTCCAAGACTGGCATGGACCCAACCCTGCGCTAACACTTGGTGGTGATCTGCTAGAAGTCGTTCAGGAATTTTAGTACCTGGGCAGCTATATTAGCACCCGTGGGATTGAAGATGAGGTTACGAACCGTATAGCAAAAGCTCGAGGTGCTTTTGCCAATCTCCGCCACCTGTGGCGCAGACGCGACATTACTCTCGCCCTCAAGGGCAGAGTTTACAACGCAGCCGTCCGTTCAACTCTCCTATATGGCTGTGAAACCTGGCCCATCAGATCGACAGACATGAAGAGACTCGTCACATTCGATCATCGCTGCCTTCGCAGCTTAGCTCATGTCTGGTGGGAACACCGCGTGAGCAATGAGCGTGTTCGGCGTCGCGTATTTGGTGCAGGAAGAGCGAGTGAACTGCGCAGCACCATTATATCACGCACCAGGCTCCGATGGATGGGCCACGTGTTGCGCATGCCAGCACACCGACTCCCGCGACGTGCATTGTTTGCGCGTTGTGGGTGCGGTTGGAAGAGGAGGAGGGGAGGCCAAGTGATGACTTGGTCGAGAGAAATGAAAACCCTCACTTCGAAGTTGGCGTCGGTTGGTGCATCCCGACTGCCTGGCTGGGGTCCTAAGGACGGTGAACACGTTTGGTTGGACACACTTGCTGATATGGCTAGGAGCCGGCCCCAGTGGCGTTTGTGTTGTGAGTTCCTTTGTCCATCCCCCTCCTGTTTAGCAATCCTCCTCTAATCACGATCTCAATCGTTAGGCATAATATGACTTTCTTTTACGGCAGCCAGCTGTTAGCTCTCCGGAGCGATGTCCATCCGTTACTGCGGACTCAACGGGCGTGCCACTGTTTGTTTTCCTTTTCTTGCCTTTTGTATTGCGGCACAATAGCTGAGGTGTTTTCCACCTCCAGCTAACGTGTAATGATGATGATGATGATGATGATGACAATGCAACCAGGCTGACTATTATGTGCGAACTAAAGCAGTCTGCGTGCTGATAAGGAAGCCTGGTGGACTAGTTGGGCTCAAGAAATGTAGGAAGCAAAAGCTCTTCCAAATGATCTACAACACTGGTCCCAAAAACCCGTGCGTCAGAGAAACAATCAGACAGCGCAGGTGAACATTTTCACAAAGAACAGAGCCGTATAGCTAGTTAGGTGGAGCACTTTCGAGAGCAGTTCGGTTAGCTCCTTGCTCCAGAACTCCTTCCCACTCAGGAGGTGCAAACTGAGTCACGGTCGGTTTAGTTAAGAGGCTCCGTCAAGGGCTGAGGTCCGAAATGCCATCAGTATGTTGTGGTACTTGACCTCCTTGAGTTACTCTTATTCGAGACCATATTGTGAGGAGAAAAACAACACAGAATAATTTGTCAGTAGTAGGGGGATTTATTAGGTTTTTGTGTAGGTTCGTCGCAGTTAGACACAGGCAAACAGCCACCACACATCAAGGAAAGCGCTAGACGGCCGTTTCGTCCTATTGGGATTCGTTAGTAGCGCGCACCCGCCAAACCCTGGATGTGTGGTGGCTGTCTGCCTGTGTCTAACTGCGACGAACATACACAAAGAACAATAATTTGTCGTTGACATCGCTCGTACTGCTCTGAAAAACTGTTTCCTTTTCGCTTCCTGTTGATTTATTCGCTGTGGAACACTGCGGTATCGACCATTCTCCTTGTTCTTTTCAGCTGGTGTACTTTCGAACTCCCCAATCTGTACTTATTCCAGCTCGGCGTTTATCTGTCGTCGGTCTGTTTTACTGCATTAAATTTCCTGCTTGAAAGTCCGATATTTTCTTATAGGATTTTGGAGCTAGTGCGAAGTGTGTGAACCAAGCGACTACCCGTAACGATTTCCAATCGGTAACATATCTGACAACGGAGGTGTTAGTTTTCTCTCCGCAGTCGGGATGACGTAAGGATATCTTTTACTAGCAGCTACATGAACTTCTGCGTTCCTCCAAAAGCACTGCTATAGTCATCCTTGCCGGGGATGCCGCCTTCCACCAAGCGAGCACCACCTTGGGGGTAGTTTTGGCCTCGGTGGTAATCGATCAGACAACGGAGACAGACTGCTTGCTCTTTGCCCTGATCATCGCATGTTTCTTTCGAGCACTAGTTTTCGGTACTCGAGGAGACACTGCTATTTGGCGGCCGCCCTCACAAATGTAAGTGCGGCCAACTTGACTACATAGCAATCAGCTACAGGTGGAGCGGAAGCGTAACGGACTGCCGATGGTACTTGTCAACTTATGTAGACTCCGATCACACATTGGTTCGTGCTAAAATTTGTACGCGCTTCGGAGGATCCCCCAAGCGCGCTCACTACCGACCGGACGTCGCAAATCTAAAAAAAACTCTGCGATTTTAACCAGGTACCAAACCTCACTGTCAACCTTGCTTGGCTCAATTATTGACGGTGATCTCGATTCGCAGTGGGTGCATATCAAAGATGTCTTAGTTTCCGCCAGTATCGATACTTGTGGAGTTGCCCGTCACCCAATGAAGCATTGGATTT